AATTCTTTCGGTCTAGACAGCTAAACAATTCTAAGCCTTGCCCAGACCTGTTTGAGAGTCAAATTAACACACGGAGAGCGGACAGCAACACATCGAAAGGGGCGATCCATGTAAGGAATTAGAAGAACCTGCAGGGCGAACAAAAACTGAAATCGAAATTGGATTGCATTCGGAATGAATTCGGATTGAAGTTGGATTAAAGTTGAAGTTGGACTGGTTTCAAATTCACTCTTGTGTGCGGTGTTTTTGACCTTTGATGTCGGGCTTGTGTGTGAGCCGTGAGCCGTTGTGCGTTGTGCTAGACAAGTAGACAGAAGACAGTAGACAGAGAGCCACTTTTATGAAAAGCTGATTTTATAATAAAATTCATGGAATTTTTGAGTTTAGGCGCGGCATACAGCCAATGATCAATCAACTGCAGCAGCAGGGGAATCAAAAAACGAAAATGAATACAAATACGAATACGAATACGATTATGAGTACGGGTTGACTCACACACACACACACACATTCACACAGCATCAGGTTTAATTGATTCAAATGAAGACGAAGTTGTTGCTTCTGCTGATGAAGATGATGATGAAGATGATGATGATGATCGTAATGATGCCACTGAATGAATGACTCTTGTCTAGCCATCTATCAGTTTGAGCTTTTGTCGGGCTGCTGTTTTCTGTATATGTAAATCGATGCATAACAATCGACTCCCAGTTGCTGATCTCTTCATACCAAGTGCGCTCTGGGCAATATCGTGAGTCAAACGTCAGCGGAATTATCAAAAAGCAAGAAAATAATAATATTAAAAAAAAAAACGGGGAAAAAAAAATAAACTGCAAACATGCAACTGACAATTGTTGTTGCTGTCATGCAACGATTTGTGGCTCTGTTGTTGTTTTTTTTTTTGTGCTTATAATTTTGTATGGAATGGCAATCCCAGCCTATGCCCCACCCCACCCCAGCTCCCGACCATACCACAATTGGGCACTTGTCAGTCAGGGGCGTTCATGCGCATCACGTTGAACTCAACAATTGTACTCTGTATTTTGCATTCGCTGCGGTCAAAGTGGACTGACAGTCGCTGAATGTCAATGCGACTACGAGAGTCCACAAATGTGCATATATTTAATTCTTATATACATATGTGTATTTAAATTAAAATATAGACCTTTCAACTTGTAGACTTTTCCAGTGCATTCAGTTATTAAAATTAGCTCAAGTCTCGCAAGTTGCTGTTAATTGCCAATATACAGTCGCTGGATGCACAGCTTTTAATTACTGAACTCAATTTGCCGCTTGGGTCAGAGGTCTTCAATTGAGGCGGCAAGCAGACTTATCTACAGATATGCCGTGGCAATACAGCAGAGAACTTAATGTATTGAATTTCCAACTACCTGCGGCAGAAGTTACAAAAGTGTAGACATGTCAGGTTGTTGTATCGATGAAGTCATAAGTCTGCGAATAGTTAATCTGTTTGCTGTTTGCCGTCATGAACTGCTTTGTTTACGTACCAATCGTGCCAGTGCTCTGCACTTATGCGTATTCTTATCTGACGAATACTTTGCATAAATACCAAATAGTCATCGATGGATGACTCGCACTCACTAATTGCCCCCGGCTGATGCACAAGCTGAGATGCCTACAAACTACACCTAAGTACTTCCCTTCTTGTTTGTTATCCATTAAAAACCAAAAAAACTAAAGAAAAACCCACCACATGCCGAGCCGAGCATCTGGATAAACCGCTGGCAAATACGTGCGCTTGCGTGCAAATGTCGTCCTGTCCTGGGAAAACTATTCAAAACAGGCAAGGAACCTGCAGCAGGTAGCTGCAGTTGGCAGTTGGTAGAGGCTCGTTGGGCTCGCACTGAGGAGGCTCCTTAAATAAAATCATTAAAAATAATGAACGCACTTCCGTTGCGCTCATGTCGGGGTCTTAGAACTTTACACACAACATTAAAATAAGGCACTGACTGAAGGTGCGGGAAGTCGGGACGGCAGAATGCCGCACAAATTAAAAGGTGCGCGACTTGAAGTCGCGTCGTGAGCCGCTCGGCAATTGCAATTACATATGTAAGATTGTGAGATGGGCCTGTAAAGCCCAGATACAGACACGGGTCCGGGCCCAAACAGACCCAACTGAACTGAACTGAACCAAAAATCAAAAGATGTGGGCAACATGAACGGAAATAAAGCGCAATGCGTTGCCCCCCCCGCTCCATTCTGTACCCTCCACCACGCACTCACTCTCTCTCTCCCTCTCTGCTCTTTGGTGCTGTTGCCGGTTCCCGGTTCCCAGTTTATCTATAAAATGCGCGTAGAAACAAAGGCGAGTTGGTAACTTGATTGTGGGGGCCGGACGACACATATAAATTATCAACGAACCATTTGTTGGAGCAGACAGCCATCCAGCCAGCTCAGCTGGCAGTTATGCATAGATACAGATACAGGTACAGATACAGATACAGATACAGATACAAATACATGTAAGTAGCAATACAGGTACAGCCTACGCTTAATGCCCATCGTGAATGAAATTCTTTATGCATGTTTCCTATACCCATGCAGAGGGTGTTTTACGTGTCCGACTATAATACATAAAAGTTTTTATATATTTCGTATAGCTCTTATTGCTTAGAATCTTTTGCACTTTGTTTCTTTAATGCAGCAATTCAATTACAGATACTTGATTTTCGGCGCACCCAACCTGCAGCTCTTGTTGTTTTAATGCATTTTTTACAAGGTATGCTAATCATCTTGATTGAGCTCTTATAATATGTATTTATATGGGTGAATGTCGTAAATCAATGCACTCACGAGTATTCTGAAATTATGCATAAATACTGATGATTCGTTTGCTGCCTTCGGCTCCATAATCGTAAAGCGACGCACCCATCTGTTTTAACAAAAGCCAGCCATACACACAAATTGAATAATATTTATTTTTTTTTATTTTTATTTTCATTTTGTGTGTTTGTGGCACACTTCAAAAAAAGAACATTATTTGGATTTAAAAATCAAAAGCAAATTGAAAACCTGTTGCCTTTCAGAGAAAATAATAGATTTCTGCTCATTTCTGTTCTGTTTTCATTTTCGATTTTTGGCATGTTGGCTTTAAACTGTTTAGCCGTAGATTTACCAGCTTATTCGTCGCCCGATAAGAAAAAAGAAACACAATATTTTGCCAGTTTTGTCTGGTCTAATTTTAAATATCAATTTTGCACACATTTTTCACCTTTAGAAAACTTAACTCTACCGTATCTTCGAACTAAACCTCTTGTCATTTATTTTACATATATATTGAAAAATAAGCTTGAAGTTCATCGAAATAATAACTAAAAGTAGTCTCGTGAGCCACATTTTATCATTGTGAGTTCTGAATGGCAAAGGAAAAAGTTTAACTCAACAGTTTTCCAAAAAAAGTTCCATAGCTGCGGGTGGAATTTCGCCGAAGAGCAAATAAATAAGTCATATTTTTTTATTAAATTATTATTATTTTCTTAAAACACTTACTAAAATTGTCGTGAACGCAAGATCAATTTCTTTTTTTTTTTTTTTTTTAAATATGGTTCGATTCAGGCTTGTGTTCTCAAACGTTTTCTATTCAACTAATCCGATCCAGGGTTTGGTTCATGATGAACAAATATTTGCTAACTGATTCGAATAACTGAGTGGAAAAAATTTGTTGCGGCTTGCGAAATGGTTCTTTAAGTACAGTTACACACTTGACGATTAAATGATAATACTCTACTAGCAGATGATAGTGTATAAAACATATGCATATTAACCTGGCTATTATGGCGCATTCTGAGACTGACTTCATGACAGACTGACTGACTAAATGTACCTTTGTTGTTTACACAATTGTTGAAAGAGTGGCAAAGTGCGGTATCATGCTGTTGTTGTTGTTGTTCTTGCTGCTGTTGTTGCTTTATTCCGAGTGCTGTGTTTTGGTGCCTTATTAGCCACGCTTTGCTTTATTTATATTTACCCAGCAGCGTCATCGTCGCCCTCGTCACCGTCTGCGTCTCCGAGTGGCGCTTAAAGTACGCTGGGCGTTGTGTTGGAAAATAAGGTCAGGCCCAGAACTTTCCAAAATGACTTTTAGTGCTTGTCGTCCGGCTGGCTGCCCGTCCGGCTAACTGGCTATCTGGCTTTGTGGCTGTTGCGTGTAAACATATTGGCCAAAAATGCCGCAGCAGCGACACGGCCGTGGCACAAACAATTAGTCAAGTTTACTGGGGCCCATTTATATCTGACAGATATGCGCTTTGCATGAGAGGCGGCAGCTTAAGCGCAGCCATTGGCACTCGGGACTACTTACCCGTTTTGCTGTTGCTGTTGGCCCAGCCAATTACCAAGCCCACAACATAAAAATACTTGCGAGAATGTATCTCGACTGCGGTACGAATTTGTATCTCTTGTGTGCAGCAATAAAAGCCCCAACAATTGCTTGATTCATGCGACGCGTCGATGGTCAGCCAAAAGAATAAAAGCATAAATAAATAAAAATAAAAATCAACAAAAAACAAAAAACAAAAAGCGCAAAGAGGCTGAGAAACAACCTACATATCTTGTATCTGTGCCTCGACCCTGTGACGCATCTGCCAGCTCAGCAATTGAATTCCTCGCGCTGATTTCTTTTGATTGAGAGTTTTGGCTGCATTGTGCGACTTGCTCTCACTCACAAATCGGACACAATGTTTGATATCTGATTATTAACTTCAAGCTGTGTTCATTTTCAACAAATCTTCACATAATTGCAGATTTTGTGGGGATTACAAATCAGCTGAAAGTGTTTTCATTTTCCATTTCGAGAAAGCGGCTCGCAGCATCAATGCGAGCATATTTAAGACGCGTGCGAAGCATTTTTATTGCCATTGCTCAGAAGGCACATGTAAATGCAAATGTTTATCGATTTTAAATAGCTCTCTGAAATACAAAACACAAAACACAAAATACAAATATTTTAATGCTCTTTTTCTCGTTTGTTTACTTTGCAGACACGCAACAACAGCCGCAACAACAATTTGCTTGGTAATTATATTTTATTATATTTTTATAAATAAGCACATTTATTGTTTTTCTCCTATGGTTAGTATACGCAGTGCTTAAGGTGGCGGGCAGTGCCTATTCTTTCAGTTACCTGGGCAAATTCAGCGTAACGGCTTCCACACACTCAGGTGCTATAAGCGTCAGACGCACGCAAAGCTGGGCATGCTCCACTGGCAGCGTTTAGAATATTTAATATAGGTCAGCCAGGCACAAATATATGGATAGAGGCACATTTCTTATATATATGTCTACATATATATATAAAGCAATTCCCATAGGGCACCATTAGGTTTTTCCACCTGTTCAACAATACAACTGTTCACCTGGGGCAACATCAGACTAGTTAGACGCGCAGTTTAACCGCTGAGCGGCATTTAAATGTTAATTTACCTCACTGACGTTGACTTTTCAGCACATTGGCTGGGTTTGTGCGTTTTAATTGCGGTCAGCGATTCCGTTGGAGCCATGCAGCTAATTGCTGCACTCAGGCTGGCTAAAAGTGTTGGCCTACTCCGCGCTGTGGATGTTGGCCCTAAACTTGTAACTGGTTTTTGGCTTTTTTCTTCGTTTTTGCGACGATGATATGGCTAAATCGCAGCCAGCATCGAACCGCAATTCCATGGCAAATGGGGTCGAAAGCCAAACAACAACACACAGGTTTTGTTTTTAAGTGGCGCTTGTCGCTTTTCAGTTCGAACTTATGCAAATCGTTATCATTAGCCGGGCCAGCCGTGTGTATATATAGATATAATTTGTTGTAATTTGTGGCTCCGACTTTATATTAGTTCATATACTTTTTTTTTAGCATTTGAGGTCAGCCACAGCATTCGAGTATTAATGGCATTATTTGACTGGTTATGCGCTCCATTGACTCCCATCGATAAAACTTTAGCTAAGTATTAACGAGCCCAGAAATAATTACACAATCCAGGCAGGCGTCATCATCAGCGAAATACTTGTGTCAACAAGCGGAAATTGAACAATAGCACAAATTTGCACATGCATTGCAAATAATTGCTTTTGTTTTCAGTACATGCGAAAATTTTGAATCTAATCCAGAGTTTTTGTCATAATTATTATACTCTCCTTAATAAGGAAAAAGGTGTATATGGGCTCTGCGAAAATGCCTGTTCTCTGTTCGATGCTTTTAGATACTCTTTTCCTTGGCTATACGTATATTCGATTGAGATCAAGCAAATATAATTACTAATAACTAATGACTACGAATCTCATGCTCAAATAGGCTCCTTTTGAACTGTCTTTATGCTTAACTACCTTAGTTATGCCTGAGCTGAGTAAAATTAAAACGTTGAGTAACAATATGCTGACAATATTTCGAGTTTAAGTTGAGTTAAAATTAGACGTACCCTTCAAAATAAATATACATGTTTAAATCCGTACTGCTTACATATGTGTTTAACTTCTCGTTAAATCTGAATTACGTGTTAACAATTTGATTACAATAATCTTAGAATCTATAACAATTAATAAGACTTTAGAACTGTTGAGTCGAATGACATTCATGTCTTACACAATACTTGATGCTTATGGATGTTGCCGGCATGCTACGTGAACTTTGAACTTGGACCGAACAAAAGAATCGGCGAATTGACAAACACGCCCATAATTTAGCCAAACAATAAATGTCAACGAAATCGAGTTGACAAAAGCTTTCCATAACCATTTGGGCGCGTAAATTACAAAATGTCGTCATCGGCCCGAGCTATAGTAAAAATTATAATAATACAACTGGTTGGCTACGTTTTTTATAACGTAAAGTTTACTTTTATTAATATATAAATATTTATAGGTAAACATAACTATAAACAAATATGTTGCTTTTTTCATATCTCATTTCAAAATGTTTGCCAAGCCCAATATGAGTTTATTTCTGAGGCAGTTTTTATACCCTGAACCCATTTAAAATGGGTATAAGGGTATATTGTATTTGTGCAAAATCCAAATGTATGTAACAGACAGAAGGAAGCATATCCGACCCCATAAAGTATATATATTCTTGATCAGCATCAATAGCCGAGTCGATCTAGCCATGTCCGTCTTTCTGTCCGTCCGTCTGTCCGCCTGTCCGTATGTATGAACGCAAGGATTTCAGAACCTAAAGGAGCTAGAGACTTAAAATTTTAGATGTAGATGCTCCTAGTTCCCGCAGATCGACTTTGTTTCCGATAATCGATTACTTACTCCGTTTCCAAGCAATCGATAAAAATCGATATTGATATTCTGTTTTTTGGGCAATTTTGGTAAATAATAAGAGCTAGAGTCACCAAACTTGACATATAGCTTCTAAAATAGAATATATCGCCTAGTCGGGAGCTCCCGACTAGAACCTCTTACTTGTTTCCTAATATTATTTAATTATGCTTAGCAATTAGTTTTGTACAGACAAAATTAGAGGAATTAGTTTTCAATTTCCATAAATGTGCATTGTGGGTCAACGAAAGAGAAATGCAATTAAATTGTTATTTTGATAAGCACAATAAAACTGTCTATAAAAAAAAAAGAGTTCTTGTTGTGCTCTTAATTTCACTTGTCTTTACGCGGCACAGCATGTCATTTGAAATCGTCTCAGTTTCACCTGGCTGTGGCACGTAGCCGGCGCAGCGTAGTTGAATCCACATGACATGTCATTTTCGGGCACAGTGAGAGTTACTGTCCAATGTTTTAAGCACAATATAAATTCTTGCAGTAAAAGTGATATGGCGCTGGCCGCTGACCACACACAGAAACGGGCTCAAGTTCAGATTCGAGCACCAGCTGAGGCAAATCTGCAAATTGTTTTGGCACAAGCCAAGCCCCAAACCAGACCTGTCTAGTTGGCCAAAGAAAAAGTCCAACAACAATAACTGGCGCCGCTGAGGAACAATTATTAATTTTGCTAAGCTGTTCGCCAGCTGCGGTAGCTGAAATCTTTGATAATTATCAGGTGGTCGCCACGGGGGGGGTCGGCGGGCAGCAAATTCTTCTGAAAGGCCACGACATTTACGTCAAATGTGCGTCAGCAGAAAATGTTGCCAACGCCTGTGGCTGTATCTATGTCTGTGTCTGTGGCAGTATCTTTATCTTTATCTGTATCTACGCTTGGCGCGTTTCGTTTGATTGGCCAAAACTGCTTCAGGTGCTAAGATTTGTGGATTTCGTTGTTGTTGCCGCTATTGTTGTCTATCTTGTTTTTTGTTATTGTTATTGTTATTGTGCTGATTGTTTATTTTATGTTTATTCACTGGACGCGTGCGGCAGGTTTTTGCGTTAATTTGTAATAATTAATTTAAGTTCTTTACTCAGGAGCCAATGAATTATTTATTGAATATAATTATATTTATAATCAGTGGAATTTACGCCGTTCTTTCCACAAACCACTTAGCATATTGAAATATCTTGGAAAACTACCCGCAAAATATTTGTCAAATTATCAACCATAAGCAAGTATATACTAGACAATATTGGTTTTTTCTTATAACTGCTGTTTGGCTGTGCACTGCATGCACAAGTGCTTGGCTTAACGAGCAAATTGCATACCAGAGAGTCATATAACCAATACGGGAAACAGACCATCTTCCCCACAGCCCACCGTCCACAGTCCAGTCAAGAGCTGCTCCCGACTTATATGGCTAAATTTAGTCATAGCTTTCATTGCGTGTGGCACTCATGGCCCGAAATACAGTCGCAATTGTAATTGGGGGGAAAACTGGGGGAAAACAACTCAGAGCTGTGGCCACTGGGTCTGTGTGTCCCAAATGAAAATGCATTCAATGCACGGGCAGCAAATTGCCAACAATGCGACTTCTCGTGCGAGGCATTTAGGCTGTGTAATGTGTGGAACGAACGTAAGAAATCTGACAACGAAATCTAACAACAATTTTAGCAATTTCATTTCAGCTGCAATTGTTTTTTGGCTATTATTGTTTCTCATAATATTAACGAGTGCGGGCATCAATCTGGTCTTCAATTTGAATGGCCCCCACTTTGCGAGCCTGCACACATGTCATTTATATTAATTTTGATATTTAATTTTTACTGCACTTGATGCTTGATATAATTGGAGGGCTGTGCTATGGCTTTTTTTATTGTTTCTGATTTTGAATTGCGCATTTTAGCAAACTTGATCGTTTGCCACGCTTTATTACGTTTGACATGCATGACACCCATTTGTTTGTCGAGCTGGCTACGTGCTTGTTTATCGAAACATACAATATATTTAAAAACATGCATATATATATTATTAAGTCATTCTAATTGGTTGAGGAGAAACGCGTCAGAGAAACATACAGCACGCTGAAACTATTCAAATCGTTAAAGATTTGTTCTGCATACAGGGTATTACGCAGTCGTACAATGTTGTTATGCTAGCCATTCACTTGTTATTCAATTTAGGCATGGGTCAAAACATTGACTATGCTCGTGAAGCATGAATCAACTGGCGAATCCACCGCAGAGAATTTCAGCGAATTTATTGCATCAATTTGAGCAACTTGAAGAAATAAAATATAATCAACTTGAATACATGTTAATCTAAACGAGTTCCCACAAAAGCGTAAAAAAAAAATTAAAACCAACAACAGCTCGGAAAACGCACACTTCCACCTTTTCTCAAGCTGCGTGCTTGGGCACTTGGCTTTATTTGCCTAATTTGTTAGAACAAGCTAAAAAAAAAATAAATTTATGAATTAACTTAATGCGACTCACACGTTTTACAAAAACAAAATTAGCATTGCGCAAAAAGATATATGAAAACCTAAATCATACGTTTGGCATTTGAATCATGTCTTTTTTTTTATTTTTTGTTTATTGCAAAATATATTATCAGAGCGAATTGTTATTTGTGCGATTTTTAGTGCGAGTATTTGGCAATGTTTCCTTCAAATTAATTTCATGCGCACTGTTTGCATTGAGTTAGTCTCTTATTTATTTAACATAACATTTCGGTATTGAAATTCGAATTGCAATTGAAATTCGTCAGCAAT